AAAACATGAACAATTTAACCTTGATCTGATAAATCCACTTTGAATTCCTTTCTCTTCTTTTGGAAAAGCTCCATCTTCAGTCTCTTCTCCAAATAAAACCCCAGATAGCAATCTTTATCATTCTCTTCTTATATCTATTTTCAGAAAAGGTTTCAGAGATTTGGTATTTCCCTCCTGTATATCCAAAATAGGATAATTCTCACTCTTCTAGTCCATTACAGCTTCTTTCTCCATATCATTCTCATAATCAAGCAACTCTGAGTCCATCTTCAAATCCACAGCATCTTTTTCTGTATCTTCCATGTGTCTCTTATAATCTGGCATTTCTTTAAAGTACATTTTAGAATCCTTATTCAAGCCTTTCTTCCCCGGAAGCCCCAATTGTTCAAATCCACAGCATCTTTTTCTGTATCTTCCATGTGTCTCTTATAATCTGGCATTTCTTTAAAGTACATTTTAGAATCCTTATTCAAGCCTTTCTTCCCCGGAAGCCCCAATTGATGACTATTTCTTGATAAATAAACTGCATTCAACCACATTAGATTTTGGGTTGTGACTACAATTCTAAATACTGTATATCTATTTAACCGCATCCCAGTTTGGGAAAAATTAATATGCTGGCCAGTTGAGTTGTTGATTCATTCTGCTGGTTTATTCTTCTGGAGAGTTTTAGGAAATAGTCTATCTTTTTGTAACGCCAGTGTCAAGATTAGTATTACAAACCACAGCTCATATGGTAGATAGCAGGAAGAAACAGCATATGTAAGAATCTCTGCACAGTTATATGTGGAATCAGTTATAAGTATTGGGAGATTTATGAGAAATAATATTCAGAAGGGATCCTTAAATTTAAAAAAACTGTGAAACATTACAATTAGCTACTCAGACTCTTTACATATTACTTTTTTTTTTACTGGCTTGTATCCAAAACCCTTTAAAGCACAAGAATACAAATGCATAAAATAAAAAGAGTTTACTTGAAAACCAATGAACCTACATTTCAAAATATAACACTATTGTGTTATCCCATCCCTTTTCTCTCTGCATGGCTGCTTGTAACAGTTACAAAGAGCTAGAGTTAGCCAGGATGTTAACACTTCATAAGGTCTCAGATGGGGATATGATTATTATGCAGAAATAAACAAACAGAATCCAGAATAGTCAGTTACTTTACTTGCCAAAAGGTTTATTTGCATAATAAATGTAAAAACATCTAACAATAAGAACAGCTCAACAATGGACTCAGAAAAATGGTGGGCCTCCTTTTCAATGTATTCAAACAAAGGCCAGACACTATGCGTTGAGGTTGTTTTAGTTGGGTTCCTGTAAAGAGCTGGGGGATAGATTCTGTAGCCCCTTCTGATTCTATAATTAGAATTCTAATTTCCCTCTAAGGGAATTCATTGAAAAAGCTGACTATATTTAATTGGTTTCACTTCTACCTCTTTTCACTCACTATTCTACCTGACTGCTGATGGGATATTAGCTGGCAGACTCCTGCTAGTTTGCTGGATTATAGGTTTATAGGTTTCCTATAATCTACAGTAATTGTAATTTTTTCTCATTTTAAACGGGTTAACATTAAACATAGATGTGTTTAATAAACTACAAGTGTAGAAAGCCTATTTGATAAGGGAGAAACTGTGCAGATTAAGTCCCTCAGTTTGTCCACATTTAGATTTACTGGTTTCAGTTCTACTGAGTTCTCAGTGAAATTTAATGAGAGTAGTTTATTGGCAGGAATCTCTCCTGGTTTTCTATTAATGTGTAACTAAGGATTGTTATCTTATTCATGAGAAAGTTTGCATATACCAGCACTAGTCAAATATCAGCTAAAAAGTAATTCTCACTGATATAATAATAGGTAAATTAAGGAGATTGAGATCATTTAGCTGAGAGCTGAGCAAGAATAGCAGGATTAGAAACCACATGTGCAAAGAGCGCATCTGGACAAAGCTACACCAGAATTATAGGGGTGGGAAGGCAAGGGTCAGGGGGATTGGATACTGCGAAGGGGGAGGGCAGACATGGATGTCATAGTAGCGACGGGAATGGGGAGATACGGTAGATGGGGTGGGATGCTCTTGGGGAAAGCAGCCAATGCTGCATTCCACCCCTTGTGCTCAGTCTTCAGAGGTTCATGATCCTGGTCATGGATTAGAGGGCCAATCCAATATGCATTACCAAAACCCAGCTGGATATGGGTGGATGTGTTCCACCTCTTGGAAATGTGCTTTCCTTTGCTTTCAGTGTGGCACCAGCTGCAATCCTAGAACAGGGTTGGGGACATGGCTGGTGATATCTGAGAACCTCTGGTGATTTTCAGGGACACTGCCCTTGACAGATGCAAGATCCTGTTTGTAAAATTGGGCCAGAGATAAGTTGGGATTGCTGTTATTGTACCAGCCTCCCTTGCTTGCACTCCTTGACTCTGTGGACGAGTTGGTGGTTTCCCAAAATGATACTTCTGAGGGACTTCAACTTGCCTTCTCTGGGCTGAATCAGAGGTGGCTTGGGAATTCATAGCCACCATGGACCTGCTCCAGACTATTGAGTGGGAGTCACACGTTAGATCTGGTTTTGGCTTAGGGCAGTGGCAACATGAACTGGTGTTGCGGAATATTGACATCAGTCCCTTATCCTGGGCAGATCATTCCCTCCAACCATGCAGTTCTCTGTAGGTAACTCCCTCTGCAGGGAAGACGGGCCTACAGATAGTCCTTGCATAATGACCATTCATTCAGCGACCATTCAAAATTACGATGGCACTGAAAAAATGGACTTACGACCTGTGCCTAAAGATATGGCTGTTGGAGCACCCCCGCAGCCACATGATCAAAACTCAGATGGTTGGCAACCCGCCTGCACCTAGTCACAGCCTGGAAAGAATGGGCAATTACAGCCTGTATTGGATCACACCTGCATGGACTGTTTGTGGATGCTGGAGGGGCTCAGTTTTCAGAGGAACTCTGCAAGATGAAACAGTGCAAGAGTCACCTAGAGTGCTGCTGGGGAAAAACAAAGTACAAATCCAACCATGGAATAGGGAGGAAAATAAAATATAAGAATAGGAAGATCTATTTTAATGAAATTTAAATAAAACAAGACCTACTTTCATGAAGATTTTGCCACCTTTTGGCAAAACAATACTTAATATTTCAGTATTCTACAGGTCACTTGTATTATGCAGATCTATTACAATTACTGGGCTAATATGAGAAGAATAGGAAAGAAAATGATAAGATGCCTGTTCTAAATAATAGTAATCCATTCAATTCTACGTTATACTTGCTCTTTTCAGCTCTGTGTTTCTACAGTAATTGTAATTGCTTTTTCTAGATCTGAGGAAATTTCAAATGTGCAGAGTCTCAGTAATTCACGTTCTGATTTTTAAAGGGATATAATGGAAAATATGCTTTCTGAATGCAGTGACATAGGGGCTGGCTATCCATAGAGTGAAAGATGGGAGGTCTGTTTTCCTCCTCCCCAAAGGCTGTAAGCCCCACCCTTTGCTATGGTACAGCTTTTGTAGTACTTTCCTATAGTTACTATCTAACTTGTAGGACAGGACTGAATTGGTCTGGCATACTATTGTTAATGATGTTAATGATGATGTTATTTATAAATAATAAGATAATAACATGAGAAGGCAGAGAGAAGTGAGGACCTCAAACAAACCATGTTTGCTAGGGGAGAGTGCTGTGCACCATGGGGCAGCCTTGGGGGGGAGGACAGGAGGGAGGAAATACTGTAGGCAGGAGACATGTTCGCGCCAGAGTGAAGAGAAACGGCAGGGGGCGGCTGTTGG